ATTCATTCCTAAACGTGGGAGGTGCCATTGTCAGCACGGAGTTGCAACTTATCAAATTGACAAGTTGTGCCAAGCGATAAGTTATGACTGTGCTGGCGATGCCGACTACGATGCCAGCGAAACGTTTGGAAATATACCAAGTTAATTGTCCGATGCTGGAAATTACGAATAATATGGAAAAGGATACTGGACTAGGTACGCTCCACAAGGTCTCCCTGAGGTTCTAAACAATTTGCGAAAATGAGGTCGAAACAACACTATAAAGCCAAAGGAGACTGCGTCTAAAGAGAAGGCCGCATAATCTTAGTCTTAATATCTGCAATATTTGTCATCTAAGGACTTCATCAAATAAAAAAATTGTACCGATTGCCTCAAAAATGCCTGATCTTATAATGATCGGCGAAACATATTAATCATTTATACTGGTTATCCGAAAGCCACATTATTATTCTACATTTTTTTATTCTTCAGTAAAATTTGCGATGAAATTTAATTCGGATTGCTTCATCAATTCTCATTTGTCCCAAATAATGCTTTGTATACTTCTATGCCAGATCAATACTAAGTTGCATCAAAGTGGCTGTATCTTATCAAAAAAGGATTTACCCTGTGTATGTATCTTATTTCTTCATTTTATTCATAGTTTATATGGTCCGATTTTCGGTAAAAGTTCACCAAGCAAAGATAAAAACTATTTTACCAAGGAAATTTTATTGTATCTCGTCATTAAAAGTGCAATTTTGGAGCAGATACTGCTCTTGGAAAGTTTCATAAGCAGGCTTCGAGTACCAGTACCTTTTTACTTTTCGAATACTTTTCTACCCTCAGCTTATTGACCGTACAAACAATTTCCTAAATGATCAAAATATCATATTTATAATACTTCTCTTATATTATATTGGCTTAATCTAGCCAATCGCTGTAGTATGGGAAATCCATATAACAGCATTATTCATAGGAGGCGACAACGGATGCACATTCGAAATCACAAAACCCATACTCACCATAAATTAAGTAACCCAGAAAATTGTCTGGTTATAACATCCAGTATTTTATGTGTTTTTACAAAAGTATATCAGTGTTGCACAAGAGAGATAAAATATTGTAATCTGCTGGAGCCAAATAATAAGTGGTATATGGATTATCTGTAAACATCTTAATAAAGAAAGCCT